GTTTGGGAGACAAGCTATTTCACTCGTGATTGGAGGCTAGCTATAGGAGGAAGCCTCTCTGCAGAAACAAAGTTTGGCAGATCTGCGACAGCTGACTAGCTTGAATAAGATGCCCTTCAGTTTTTAGGGTAAGGATTTTAGAAAAAAGTATCGTCTTATAGTCGGAAAAATACGGTACTTTCCCTCAAATATCGACAGACACATACATTACACATGTACTCCTTCCTCCCATTCCCTATTCAGACAACACATTTATATACATATTGTCTATCTCTCTGTGCGTACATACATAGACACAGAATGATCTTTATTGGAAGCCAATAAGAAGCAAGGGGACCATTTTCCTTATAGGGAGCTGGATTAAAATTTCTCTGTTTTTGTGGCATAGCCTTGCAAGAGAAACTCGTGAGGAAATTCATATACCTGAAGGTAGTTGATCTGTGTGAGTGAAAATCACAGAAAGGAACCTGCCAGAATGATAAATGCAGAAAGATAAGCAGTAGACAGATCATGGCATATGTTGAAAGGAAAGACAAGAAGTTGCTGTGGGACTCTGGAGTGGAAGAATGTTTGGAATACAGGTAGTCCCCGGCTTAAGAATGCGTTCCATTCCCAAGGTTTGTCCTTAAGTTGAATTTGTATGTAACCTGGAACAGTATTATGTTTAATACCTGTATAAATAGTGTTGTGTAATTAACTTGAACCACTGTGTATTTAACTTGAATTTTGCTACAGTATGCTCTGTCCTTAACTATGGGTTGTCTTTAAACCAGGCGTTCTTAACTCGGGGACTACCTGTATGTGGACAGCAATGAGGAACATGAATAAGTTTGAGAGCAGAATATTTGGTAAATTAAATGAAAGCAAAATAACAACAACAAGAACAAAACAACCCTCAAAACCCTAAAACAAAAGATCACTGTTGCTGGAGTTAGAGATGCCTATGGGATGGACAAGTGCTTTTACTTGAAGGAAAAGTGAGAATGTATAATATTTTTGTAATTTATAAAGGGAAAAATGGCTTGATTTGATTATTGCCTGAATATGGGTCTCCACAAGTGGCAGCACTGGTCCAAACCTATCTTGGCTTGGTTTCTAGGCAAGATGGGGCAGGTTGGTCCTTGTCTGGGAATTACAAGAGAATCCCAAGGCTGTAGGCTAGAAGCAGGTATGAAAGAGCATCCCAGAAATGACGATCAGCTTTTCTATAGTTGCGTAGATATGCTGTGAGGAGCATAGATAAATATGAGAAGCAAAGTAGGCAAAAAAAGACCACCAAGAAGGAGAACAACAACTGAGACACAAGGCTTTATGCCTAATTCACTGAATTAATCTGCAATATCCTTGACTATGAGTCTTGCAGAAAATATGTATAGTGCCTGTTGCATTCTTCATTACTTCTCTTCATCCACTGAAGCTGAAACACAGGGCTGATTTTCCACTTTGTTTGAGTCAGGACACTTTTTTATAGTTATACCAATATTTTAGCAAGTAAAGTAAAATATTAGGCAAAGCCCTAAGTGCCAAAGCCATACTTCTTAACTTTTCTCCTGTTCTTTTTCCTTTTTATGTGAATCTGTCAGGGGTGTTTTAAGCTGGGACTTGTTATAGAAATGGAGCAAGTTCATGTCCAGCTCCTGTTGGACTATGTCAAGTGGAACTCAGTGGAAGTCATCCAGCAGTCTGGTATGTATGTATGTATGTATGTATGTATGTATGTATGTATGTAAAGCAATTTATATGGCCATTCAACACACGGTGACTCCGGGCGACTACAATAATAAAAACATTTCCATTTCCTAAAGTATTTCCATTCCTAAAGTCAAAATGTACCTGCAATACCATGCCATTTTGTTTTTTAGTTGCCTTGTTAGGATTTTTCATACTGGCTGATAACACCATTCTGTATGCCGAAGAAGAGATTGTAGATTATTGCAAGATCAAAACTAATACCAACTCTGGATGCGATGCCAGAGTTGGCTTCAGTTCTGTGAGCTGCCGAGGAACGGCGATCCTCTAAAATAAGGAGATAAATGAGGAATAACTGATGTCCTCCACAACTATTGGAAATAGGTGTGATTGCTGATCAAGGTCAACATCACTCTGGTATCCTTTTGCATACCATATTGCATGTATTTACTGAAGGTGGGATAGACATTTTTTATTTTTGCTGATTTGCAGAATCACACTCCCAAAGAGTGTCATTGCGTGCTGCTAAAACAGCTTTATTATTTTTTAAGTCACCTTATTTATTATCATAGAAGCTTTCATGGTTCACAAGAAATTTCTGTATGGCTCAGACATCCTAGTCTATTGGGCCTGTTGTTGCTAGTTAGTAGCTAGTTAGTATCATACCACAGTGATACACATCCAGGTTCCAAACCTATTACTTTTTTTTTAATAATAATTTTATTAGACATTACAGTTATACAGATAAAAACTAATACAAAGTACAAAAAATAAATGAATAGAAAGAAAAAATAGTGCAGAAAAAAAGAAAAATAATAATAGAAAAATAGAAAAGAAAAAAAATTAAGAATGTAGCAAAGAAAAAGAAATCTATAAAGAAGTGATTTTCCCCTTTGTCACAAGTATAAACAATTTTTAACAACTTGTCACCTCCTTTTAAAATACAACAAACAATCTCTTTGTCCCATATCGCATCTCTTATCTATAAACAGATCCTTAAAACCTTGTCATTCAGTCCTAATCAGCAAAAGTCCATTAAGGGTTACCAGAAATAATAACATATCTATTTTAACCTTGATCAAATAAACCGACTCAGTATTTCTTCCTTTTACTTTTATATCTCATCTCTTACCTATAAACAGATCCTTAAAACCTTGTCATTCAGTCCTAATCAGCAAAAGTCCATTAAGGGTTACCAGAAATAATAACATATCTATTTTAACCTTGATCAAATAAACCGACTCAGTATTTCTTCCTTTTACTTTTATATCTCATCTCTTACCTATAAACAGATCCTTAAAATCTTGTCATTCAGTCCTGGTCAATAAAAATCCATAAAGGGTTACCAGAAAAACTTATCTATTTTAACCGTGATCAAATAAACCCACTTTATATTCTTTCCTTTTACTTTTAACAGTCTTGATCTTTAATCCCTTTAAATAATGTCCTAGAGCTTGTTTTCTTTTTTTCTTTTTTCTTTGGATTCTTCTCACAATATCCTTCAAAACTTTAACAGGATTCTTGTAAACCCAATATAAGAAAATTATCCAAGTCGCTCATTTGGTTTGCCATTTGTATATCCCCTTTAATTATTAAGGTGTCAGCTGGTTTCATTTGTATATCCAGTGTAACATCTTTTTCCATATTGTTCTTGTAACTTGTCATTTTTAAATCCAGTTTCAGATCAATCTCAGTCTTGTCTGGTGACACTTGTTCTTCCAG